GCTATCACACAAAAAAGAACAATAGTTTTTTGATACATTGATCTTGTATCATGAAAACCTCTTATAACAATTTACAACTCTCTAGTCTAAACATGGCAGTTTTTATAAAATTTTAATGGCAATTTGTTTTTCAAATTTTCATTAATTAATGGTAAGTTTATGTTTATTAGTATTATTTTATTTAAAATTTCGAAGATAAATCTGCTCTTTTGACATGACATGTCAAAAATATGAATATATCATACTCAGAATTATCATGGAATTCACTTTTAACTTATCAGGTAATTCACTCAGAAACCTCATCGTAATTCCCATCTCGTTGGGATTCCCTTGACACCTTCCTAAGAATTTATTTGGAATGCTGCTTAAACATTTTCTTTTACACTAGTAAGAATTTATTTGCAATCCTCCTTAAAATTCCTTTCCAATTATTTTGAAAATTAGATTCCTTTGATTTTTATCTCAAACACATGTTTGAACATAATTTTCTTTGTAAAAATCACGATTCCCTTACACTTTTAAAACTGTTTATGACATTTAAGTTATTGTTGCGCCTCCACTAAACTGAAGTTCGTGCGTCTGAGTTGACGCCATCTCCACTGGCGACATAGAAAATTCAAATGTTACGTGTGAAAACGTCGCATCAGCATTCAGTCGCATGCACAATAAGTATAAAAATTTGTGGCACTTAAGTTATTTTATTTACCCAAAATAGCATATTTTTAAACGCTTAAAAAATTCTTTTGAATCCTGGGAAACTCAGCGAATTTTATTCAGCAACATGAGTAGAAACCCTATAAAAATTATGCCACTCGTGTTTATTCCCGCTCTTCTGATCACGAAAGCCCATTACGTTGCTATAAATTTTAAGGGACTCCATAGTGTCCTCAAAACCCGGATAACGCACATCACTCGTGGTCGAGGTAAATATAGTATATACTACAAGTTCACAGGAACACTATATGATGTGGAGAATTTTCGGTGACAGTTGATGATGATGACTGGGTTATCGCTTTTTATTGTGATCATGAGCGTAAAAAAACTGACAATGACACTATCGTTTTTGGAACCGACTGTTGTAATTGTCTGGTTGAGACTGGGGAGGACTGCAGCCCCCTTAGGATAAATGTAGTGCCCCTAGAATTGTTACTACAATTACTAATTTTCCTTACACATCAAAATAGTTCACCAATTTCCTAATTACAAGTTCGAAAAATAAATTTAGCCCCCTTAGGATTTTTGCTTAGTTTCGTCAATGAGTGTAACCAAAATGATAATTAAATTATCATTATCAGAATCAGGCTTGCAATTGCTCATTACAGCTAAAATGCTATTTTTCGTTATTATGAAACAATGGGACACTATAATGATAATTTTTATTTGTAAGATGCAAGAAGAGGTGGTAAAGATTGTATATGACATATAAAGTTTGTCAATTTTGCTTGCAGAAGGTCACAACTAGCGATTAGGTGTAACGATGAGCAACGCGATGAGCGAGCAATCAGCGATCATAAAATTGCTAGTTGTGACCTTCTGAAAGCAAAATTGTCAAATTTTATATGTCATATACAATCTTTCCCAAGTAACAAATCTAGAGCTGCTTGGCTATATTCAAAATTTATAAAGGTTTTATTGCAGCTGCAACCATTACCTACAGCTTTATCACGGTCATATACAATGCAAGTCATGAAACATTCTTATAGCTATCTACAAAACCCCTATAAAGCTAATTAAAAAACCAACTGATGCTTATGCTATTTTCACTTATGAAAGGTTTTATGATTGCTTTGAAGTATACAAAAAAGTAAAATGAATTGCCCTTATAAAACCAAAAAATAAATCCTTTCGTTGCTTTATAAGTAAGCGCAATAAAACTAGTTGGCCATGAAACAGTTATTTTAAAACAATTATAAGCATTCAGTTGCGACTTGTCAGAAATAGGTGGTTTATTTTTACTACATAGAAAAGAATCAAAACTTTCCGGTACTTCCAAGCGGAGCGCAAAGAAAATCAACAAAATTGTTAGCATGAGCATGAAAACATTTCGTGTATACGTATACGCGACGTAGTGTGCGTAAGAAAAACGTCAGCAATCTCCATGATTCTTCCATTCTCGCCCGCATATACATGGGGTTACACGGACGAATCTTGGTCGAAATACATGGAATGGTGACAGTCGTAGGGCAAAAAGGTTGAAATCACGCATAACTTTTCATAAAGGTTAATGCACCATTCAAAACTTTTCTAAATGTTTGTAAAATTCATCGGTTGCACCCGTAGAATAGGAATATACATTTGCCCTCAAATAAAAAAATGAATTCAAGTTGAACATTGCATTAGGTCCTAAGTAATATTGATAGATTCGCTTCGTCAACTCTCTCTTTGCATCCCCACGGTCATGTAAAGACATTCCCAGGTATTTTCAGCACATAAATCGATAAAAGAAGCTTTTATCTAGCATCCAATACGACAAGCACATCAAGAAACGGTTCTGTGAATAAGTTATTAAGGAAAGAGAAAGTCGACGAAGAGAATCGATCAATGTTACTTAGGACCTAATGCAAAGTTCAGCTTGAATTGCTCTTGTAAAAAGAAAATAGTGCTCGTAATAAAATCATGCATTATGCTTCTCTTTCCTGCTTTCATCCAATGCACACTGGGCCAGGAATGCAACCTAGCGGAGCAAAATTCATAACTCCGAAACGAAGCATTTCCGCGACTTGGTGTCTTCGGCAAAATTTCTCGTCATAATAAGGACCATCTATTGACATAAACAAATAGTTCAAAACTCTTCCGCAAAGATGGTGTCACAATCTTACTTTTTTCTCTGACGTTTTGGAAACTTGATGTCTTCGGCAAACTCGTTTTTTCAACAATGTCTTTGAAATTTGAAGCTTTATCCAGTATGTTTCTTCACAAAAGCTATTTATTTAATGTATTTGCATAAGAGAAAAATATAACATTATAAAGCTGTAAGCAAAAAAACCGAAACAGAAAAAAAAAACATATTTTCGACATTTTTTTCTTTAACTCCATATAACTTGGAACCAGTAGACAATGGAAATTTAAGGTCTTTGAAAGAGCTGTTCATTTTGTCAAGATAAACAACTTTGCCCAAGACATCAAGTCTCCAAAACGTCAGAGAAAGAAGTTAGATTGTGGCACCATCTTTGCGGAAGAGTTTTGAACTATTTGTTTATGTCAATAGATGGTCCTTATTATGACGAGAAATTTTGCCGAAGACACCAAGTCGCGGAAATGCTTCGTTTCGGAGTTATTAATTTTGCTCCGCTAGGTTGCATTCCTGACCCAGTGTGCAATGTAAGCATTAGACATTTTAAGAAATTGCGCTTGATGTTTTGCTTGCCTGCTGTCCTCTGTCGCCATATTGTCATTATGAAAATGCCATTAGCCTTGGAATAAAATCCAAGAAATTTCAATAAAATAATGGCTAAATAAGATATCCGAAATGATTTCCAGTGTGCATTGGTATGAATTTATGTATTGAGATCTATTTTCTGTAAAATTAAGGTGATTCCATCAAATTCATTTGATTTCAGAAACAATCTTTTTTGTTAACTTGAATTATTTTGGAGGCGCATTTATTTAACGCTCATATTATCTCAATATACACGATAACATTTCAAGCGCATATGTTTTGGAACTTCTTAAAAGTAATATATTTTCTTTAAGATTTTCACTAATGTCGCCATGAAACAAAATTGATTGCATGGTGATCTTGACACCAACACTCAAACCTATTTTTACCGCTAAAGATTTCCATTTGGAAAAAAAAAGTTTCAGCAGAACAGAACAACAACAAGCTAATTTATGGCGGTTGCTTTGAAGCCAATACAAATTAAATTGGCTTTATAACTGATTTTCACCAAAGCGTAATAAAACTGCTTGGATACAATATTACTCTTATAGAGGCTATGAGAACCTTTTGTAGAGTATGAGGCTTCCTGACAAAAGGTTTTAAGACAGCTTTATTGTGATTCTCAAACATGCTTTATAAACCTTTTCAAGAGTGGTCCACTAAGCTGTATGACGATCTTATAGCGGTTATCAAAAGGTTGTGCTGGAGCTATTAATTTTATTGGCGATTTTATGAAATTGATCTCAACAACCACTAAAGAGTGCAATAAAACAAGAAATGCTACTTGGGTTACCACCTCTTCTTGCATCTTACAAATAAAAATTATCATTATAGTATCCCATTGTTTCATAATAACGAAAAATAGCATTTTAGCTGTAATGAGCAATTGCAAGCCTGATCAGAATCGATGATTTTCATTCCCTGGCTAAATTTCTAGACCGGGCCGGGAATATCACCCATCCGAGCTGGTGCCCTACCCGTTAATAATCAAAGATCGTAAATGTCACCACAGTGCACGAAGATCATAACTTCTACCAACATATGTTCTATGATAAATGAATAACAAAATGTATTCATCACATAAAACCTTCACCTTTGGGCCATTTGTCACTGTCCACTATAGCAGAAGGTAATTATTTCCAAGCTAATATCTTTTTGCTATTGCAAATTCGCTGCTCCTATCATTATAAGTATCATGTGTGCTCATCGCGAAAATTACCTCCGTTTAATATGCATTAATTAATTACAATCCCTAGCGTCGGCGCTGGTTGTGAACAAGTTTGTTCCTCCACAGTGATAGTAATTTTGGTTGATGATGGTACACCAACTGTATGGCGTGTGGTCTGCAGTGCCATCAACGGTTGCTATTCGAGATTAAAACTATTTTCCACGCAAGTCTACATCGAAGTGAAGATTGATATACTTTCTCTCTACGACCGTCCAACCACCGATGGATGCGATGGATAGTTGTTAGCTCATAGGGGAGCAATTATCGCGTGTGGAAAGCGAATGTTAGTCTTAAGCCTCAAGTCACGATACATCGTACATAATGTCGTATAGAGAGCGGTAATTAGTCGGAATAAGTTAATTAAATCTTACTTTTATCCATTCTCACTTTCAGGACCACGATCGCTGGACATTGACACAAGATGGCCAACTACTTCATCTGTTTGGTGGTGCAGCGACTGATACTGCCGATCATTCTGGCAATATGTAAGTATTCGACAAACTATCGTTCCTTATTCTCCGACCGACGGTTTTTGGCTTGGTGCCACATTTCGGGCGCCATGGAAATTGGGTCGACCGGGAATTGCTACTTGGATGGGTTGGGCATTCCCGTTCACACCTAGTAAAATTAAAAAAAAAAACGCAATGGGAATGTCATTCCCAAAATACCGTGGAATATGACACAGGTGGTAATAGGAATAACGATAGATTTACGACTTCTGTCCGTATCCATTTTCTTGAATTAACCGAACCTGTCCACGTTAATTGGAAGGAAAAACACTTTCTATGTTTCGACAACGTGATAGTATCCGTTTGATGGGGCCGTTATGTTGCGAAACAGACACACTCATTCATAATCTACACCCTTCCAAGCCTATGAAACATGAAAGAAAAAGCTCCATCGCATTTAACAAAGCAGTCACTAAGGTTGTGCGGGAAATGTATCATAAAACGACACCCACCTGTACCCCACCCTCTCTTTGCTATGCCTATTCTAATACCAGCTCATCGTCACTCACCACCACCGGCGGTTTTGGGGTAGGCTAAAGAGAATAAAGTTAAAACATAAAATAGAAAACGACATGAAACTGTGGCACTACACTGAAAACGAATCTAACTCAAAGAGTGAGTCACTTTTACTCATTCGTATGGGTATATTTCTAAAAGCGTAGGCTACTCATGCGCTTAGTGACATACGATTTTAGAAATTTCTCCATACGAATGAGTAAAAGTGACTCACAACTGAGTAAAAGTGACCCACTCTCTGAGTTAGTTTCGTTTTCAGTGTATGGTCACGACCGAAGGGACAGCGGACCTTCCGCGAAATCCCCACGGTCGTCGGTCTCCTTTCTTTTTTTTTTCCTCTGTTCATACAGAAACTTACATAATGAACTTTTCTGCGCTGTTTATTTATTCGTTTTGTTGTCCTTTTTGATGTTTGCAGTGATTTTCACTTCCTGGAGTCACCAGGTGGGAGTTTTCTCTCTCTCTTCCTTACGATGTGGTGGGTTGTATAAGCAGGATATATGAATGATTCACTATCCCGAGTCTGTTGAGGTACTGGTATAATTTATATGGGATTCCTCTAAAATAAATTTGAGAATCTCTCAGAAATTCCCTTGCCATTTTCTTAATAACAGTCCAAAAATTCTAAGCAGAACAATCCTTACAAATATCATGGTATTCATCCTAAAATTCCCTATGGTTTTTAATCGATTCTTCCAAGAGTTCACTAAAGCTTCCTTTGATAATTATATTTAGAAATCGCTTGAATTCTCCATAGAATTTCCATAAAATTCACCTTAGATAAATCTTAAAATTCTGCTCAGAATTATCTATTCCCTTCTCGAGATTATCCTTGAATTGCCTTCATCTCAGAGTTTCTTTGATATTTTGCCCTCAACATATCAAATCCCATGGGTTTCTTCTCAGATTTCCCTTGGAGCTCTCTTGAAACGTCACTTGAAATTATTTTTAGAATTACCCTGAAATTTGCACTTGAATTATCTGGGAACTATTCTCAGAATTCAATACCCTCGGTATTTCCTTGGAATTATCATAGGAAAACTTTCTAGAAATTCTGCTCAGAACTTACTTAGAATATTAATTAGAAAAGGACCAGGAGTTTTCATCAAAACAACCAAAAACTTCAACTCTGAACATTTCTTAAAATATCTGAATTCCTAGGTCCTCTCACAATAATATTGGAACTCTTCCGACATTTGACTTGGAGCTCTATTAAACACTCTCTTAAAGTTATTTCCAAAAAAACTTCCTTGGAATTGTTCCATGAAATACTTTTGTGTTATTCTAGTATCTTCTCAAAATTCCTTTGGAAATTCTCTAAATATTTCTTCAAAGTGACTGTATCATGAAAATCTAGTTCTCCGATGCTTTTGGAGTCCGTGATTTTTATCGGATTTCCCGTTTTCCCGGTTCAATAAATTTATAAATTATTTATAATAAATATAATCTTCAAGTTTCATGTTTTTTACAGATCCCAGAGTCTTGTTACCTAAATGATCAAGATTTTTTTCTGTTTTTTGAGAAATTTTCTGAATTTCAAGAAAGATCATTTAAACTACAGAGAAATCCAGCGAAATTTAGGGAATCTCCAGAAACTTAATTCAAAGTTTAGTAGCCCCAGATCGTGAAGAATGTTCTGTGCCTGATTTTCCTTACTATTTCTCGTGGAATCCGTCTCAGGGTTTCCTTTGGATTGTTTGAAGAATCTCATTTGATTTTCTGCAGATTTGTTTTATGAGTGTCATAAGCTTTTAGTTTACAAATTAATCTCAACCAGCGAATCCAAACACATAAACGATACAGACAAAACGGTTGCTATGACTACCATGACAAACTCGCTCTGTAACATAGCTCGATCCGAGTGGTAGAATGATAATGATATATTGCTTGCCTGCTTTGTTGCAATATACACGGATGAGGACATAGCTTGATCTGAATCGAGAAAAGACATAACAAAAAAATTCCCATTAACACACGTGTCTCATCTTCGGCTTTACTTCGTGAAGCAGCTTGCCAACAATTTGCTCGTTTCCTTCTACCCCCCCAAGTGAGTTGTGTCGCACGGGCTGCTTGTCATGAAAAAGAACATAGAAGATTATATCATTATTGCTTTCCACTTCTGACATAACTTTATTACTCGGTTCGTTGATCGCTTGTCATTTTGTCATTTGGAGATATTTTTTCCTTGATCTCAACTATCGCCAATTAAAATGAACGGATCAGAATTATGACTTATTTGTTAGTCTTTGTTTTTTTTTTGCAACCGACTGTTGTAATTGTCTGGTTGAGGCTAGGGAGGACTGCAGAGAATTCTCAATAATTTGGAGCTTTTAACTTGTAAGATCTTTGGCTATGAAAAATAATGAACCTGAGTTTGTTTAGCTTTTTTTAGATCCCGTACCCTCCCACCAGATGATGATTTCGGACTCTGGGTTTTTTTTAGTTCTCAGGCTTAAAAGATCATGACGGAGGGCAATGTCAAAAAGGCTGGCGCCGGTGGTGTAGTGGTAAGCGTGACTGCTTTCTAACACCCCAATGGGTCTGGGTTCAATCCCAGCCGAGGTCGGTGGGATTTTTCTGAGGCATAAAAATCTCTGGTCACGTCTTCCTTCGGAAGGGAAATAAAGCCGTTGGTCCCGGCCCATGTGTGTTGTGAATGGGTGCGATATCCTACGCAGGTGTGGAAGCTGCCTTCCTGCACATTCGATTGTTGCCAATGGATGGCAATCGATGTCCGTCGGTGATTGGCACTAGATTGCGGAACAGAGACCGACGTTAAATAAAGGAAAGAAGAAAAGAAAGATGGCAATGTCAAAAATATCTGGAATTTATATTTTTTTGATTCTAGAGCCTGGAAAAATTCAATATTTTGGTACAGTAAAGTTACGATTTTTTTTTTCCTTGATTTGTTTTCCATCGATCTTGTTTTCCGTGCTGAGCACCAATGCTACCGAGGGAGGCAGCTCCCACACCTGGACCCTACTTATCGACCCATCAACTCATGAACCGGGGAGCAACGGCTTTACTTCCCTATACTTAGAGATGTTATGCCTCAGAACATCCCGGCGGCACCGACTGGGATTGAACCCAGGCCTGCTGGGGTGAGAGGTAATCACGCTTACCACTACACCACCGGTGCCGCTATCATGCAGGTAGTTGGTATATCTGTTAGGGTTGTCTTCATTTTCAGCTATGTTGAGTGTAGAAGAAATGATTTTTATCAGAATTGCTCTCGATGCAAACGTTAGCATTGTACGCAAAGTATTTAAAATATATTAACCCGTAAAGTACCAGGACGAACGAATTTTTTTCAACAAACTCGTTCTCAGCAATGCCTTATCCGATTTTCATAAACTTTGGTTTTTATTCAAGGGTTGATTTCCCGGAACCGATGGCAATGTGTCCATATGTCATCAGATACACTACAACCTGATTTCAGTGATCATAGCTTGTCATTTTGACATAATATGATATCATAACCTCCATGAAATTATATTCCAACAATCCGTTCGCCGGAATTCACAGATCCGCGTTCCGGAAACGATGCCAAACTGGCCAAAATCATCCCAAATCATCTTCATTCACTTGATTCTACCTATTTGACATGATTTGACATGCCACAAGATACGTTTGCCTGAGATAATACTATCTCCTACAGAATCGATTTCCGGGACTCCGGGTACCGATAATATCGTAGCCATACGTTATGGAAATATCTAAATTCAGTCTTACTAATCATATTTCATCTATCTGATATCATTTGCTGCACCAGACAACCGATTCGCGTGAAAATTTGAAACATTTTGTCAAACTGGTTAAAAAAGTACAAAAAAACCAGACATATTTGCATCTCCCAAGAACTAGGACGGTTCTAAGGGGGCGGTACCTACGACAACAGTTAGTTCAACTATTCCCCTTGAATAAAAACCAAAGTTTATGAAAATCGGATGAGGCATTGCTGAGAACGAGTTTGTTGAAAAAAATTCGTTCGTTCTGGTACTTTACGGGTTAATTTAAATTATCCAATATTTTAGAACCTTGAAAAACTAGTGTGCTGGTTTCTGCGGGAATTACACAAATATTAGCTAAATACAAGTACACGGGAAAAAATCCGATCTCCGAAATGAGGAAAATGACTCATGATTTCATGAACAAAGCGTATTTTCATGTTATGAAAATACACCATGAATAATATTCATGATACCATGAGCAACTTTTGCGTAACGCAGCAAACATACCCAAAATCATGAATCATCCGATTTGAAATCATGATCTAAAATTCATGGGTTTAACTTTTACCAAAAAAAAAAATGTAAAAAGAATAGAATAAAGCATCAGACTGGATTCGAACCAAGAACCTTGAGATTATAAAACCCAGTCTTTGACCACTAGACTATCAGTACATGTATAAGAAGAAAGACAAAAGGCGTATAAGAGATACCTATGTAGTGCGGTTTATG